TCACAAGCTTCGTTAAAACTCGATACATTTTCGTCGCCTAAAAAATCCTTTGAATTTTTTTTCAAATAAAGTATAAACAAACGCCACATTCCACATAATTCTATTTCGTCTTTAATTTTCAAAAAATCCTTGCTTTGCATAAACAAATCCTTGCTCATACCATCTTTCCGACAGTTAGTTTCGCAACAAAAAGAAAAAGTGTACTTTAAAACACACTGCCATATAAAAGCAAGATAACCACCTCTCAACAAACTTATCACTAACGGTGGATTACCATAGCAACTTGCAAATACATTAACACCATACGCGCAACCGTCTTTATTTTGGTAAATAGAAGCTGGATCCAAAATTAATTCAATTAAACAATCTATTTTTTCAAATCTATTGAATCTCGATCCATGAACACGATTACAAGTGCTATCCAATAAATTTGAAATGTAACGGTAAAGCGACATCTCGTAATAGTAATAATCATCACTTTGAGTGTTTTTTCGAGGACGAAATGTAATATTCACCTTTCTTTTCCTCAACTCATAAACATATTGAATACGTTCTAAAAATACCTTAAAATCTGTCTCTGTGTAAGGGTTAGGAATAGCATAAAGATAAAAAATAGTTCGGTAGGCTTCATCATGAAATTCATCAGAATATGTTATGTTTTTTAACATTAACAAACTTGTCGAATATTCGATGTACGAATAATCACTACCTAACTTCTTATATTTTGTTTGACGAAAATATTCTGCAGCTATGTCATAAATGCATCCTGACTCGCCAATCAAAATAAAATATTCTAAAAAAGAACAAGGTTCATACGAACAGTTTCCAAAAGGAACACATAACTCGCTCGAATGTGACATTAAAAATCTTTTTAATGCAAAAAACATTTTTTATTTTTTTCTAAAAAAAATATATTTTTATGTATAAAACATAAAAAACAAAATAATATTTTGCAATACTTAAAAATTATTTAAACTTAATTTTTTAAGAGAAACAATAATATATATTAGCTATAACAAAAAAAATTAGCAAATAAAAAAAAAAAACTTGCTGTTTTTTTCAAGGCTTTTTTTTAAAAAAACGCTTTATTATTCAAAACAAACAAACAAAAATTAAAAAAATAATATTAAAAAACTTTTTTTTTATTTAATAAAAAAAACAAATAAACTTTTTTAAAAAAATATTTTTTCTAATAAAAAATAGTTACACTAATTATCTTCGTCATCGGATACAATTTTTTGTTTTCTTGGTTTTTTTGTTGGAGGCTCTTCGTTTAACGAAACCGCGATTTGATTCATTACTGCATTTGCATTTTTTAGTTTTTCGTCAATAATGACACACTCCATCTCAGTCGAGTTGGCTGTTTCATACTCAAAATGATAGAAATGCATCTGCTCAAGACTTCCTACCTCTATATTTAAATACTCATCGCTTGTTTTCAATTGTACACCTTTTAGTACAAAGTATTCACCATAAACTTCATTTTGGTATTTGCGCAATTCGGGCAAAAATAAACTAATGTTTTTAGCATTTACTTTTTTTTTCAAATCCATGCGGAAAAATTGATCTCTTACTACAAAAACCGTTTCTCCTTTTTTATTAACACGAGTCACGTTAGGATAATGTGCGCGTAAAAAAAACTGTCCCACCAGTGAATTGTTTATCAGTTTAACTTGACTAGGATTAACCAATATGCGCTTGTTGAAGTCGCTGTTATCACAAAATATCCATGTCTTTTTCATCTGGTCATACTGACATACAAGACGCACTGTTGCTAAAAAATAAGTAGACATGTTCTTAAAGTCGACATCTGAAAACTGATAAATACCAGGAGCATAGCAATCGCTTGTAATAAATTTCGCTGTCTTTCCAGTCAGCTCAAAGCCTTGTATTTTTTCGTTTTCCATTTTTTTTTGAACACCTCTGAGTTTTTTGCTTCAAATGTTTTTATGATTTTTTATTGCCAAAAGTGACCCTTTTTATAGGTTTTTTTTAAATCAATAACGCCAATTTTTGTCAACATCAATTTTTTTATCTCACCGTACTTTTTTTAAAACAATATTATCTCTCAGTAGTTTTTTAAAAAAATTAATTCATTTTGTAACATAACTCCTATGTCAGTTGACTATTTTGCGTCAGTTGACTATTTTTGACTATTTTTATTTCGAAATAATAGTCTCAACACTTGACTTTCATTTTCATAATTCTTAATAATCTCGCCGTTTTTTCTCTACGAAAATATTATTACACAGTCGTCAGATGACTATCATTTATTTTTTCTACTTTCATCTTTACGACATCCATATTTTAAAAATGTAAAATGTTTGCCAATTTTTTTTCTCATAACAGTGACTTTTGCTTATATAAACATTTTTATTTAACTTGCAAAAGTAAACATGAAAGCGAAAATTGTTACGGCTTGTGTTTTCTTAAACATTTTTTTATTTGTTCGCCTTCTTAAGTATTTACGTCATTGGTTCGTATAAAAACAACACAATTTAAAAAAAAAAACAAAGGGGGTAAAAAAATGAACGAAGATCAAGAAAAAGCTTATGTTGCATTGTCAAACAACCAAAATGTTTTTCTAACAGGAAAGGCTGGCACAGGAAAATCATTTACAATCAATATCATCTACGAACGTTTTATAAAATCAAAAAAAAACATATGTATAACGGCAAGTACGGCTATCGCTGCGCAAATGTATTCCGATGCAAGCACTGTTCACTCGTTTGCTGGCCTCGGCTATCGTCTAGAATCCGTAGAAACCATTTTGAAAAATATGACAGACGTCGTAATAGAACGTTTAAAAAATGTTCAAATTTTGGTTATAGACGAAATATCAATGTTACCAGTACACGTGCTAAAAACATTAAATATGATTTTAAAAAACATTAAAAAATCACATCGTCTATTTGGAGGATGCGTGTTGCTCGTTGCCGGAGATTTTTACCAGCTGACGCCTGTTGGCGAAGAAACATTGTTATTCGAAGACCCTTTCTGGAACGAATGCGAATTTGTTAATGTAGAACTTGTGAAAAACTTTAGACAAAACAAAGACCTCACCTTTCAAACGCATTTGAACAACGTGCGCGAGGGCATCTTTTGCGAATCCACTTTGGCTTTTTTTAGGAAAAGGCTAGAACCTGCCGATAAACATTTAGATCCGAGTTACACAAGGTTGTTTATGTTTAACAAGGATCGAATTGCACACAACGAGGAATATTTAAAAAAAACAAATTCACCCTATTTTATATTTGACAGCGAAATAAAAACATTTAACAATTTTAAAATCAACGAAAAATGGCCATTTAAAACGCCTCAAAATGTAACTTTAAAAAAAGGAGTACCAGTGATTTGTGTTCGCAATATATCCGAGCTTGGTATTGTCAACGGCACGCAAGGCGTTGTAAAGTCAGTGAACCTAGAGCGAGTCGTCATTATGGTAGACGAACAACGAATTGTAATCACACCTCAAACAGAAATGCTGTACGACTGTAAAAGAAATGTAATAGCCGAATGCAAAGGAATGCCGCTTGTGTTAGCCTATGCGCTCACTATTCACAAAGTGCAAGGTCTCACTCTTTCTAATGTAGTTATTCATTTAACGAGAAATCAATTTACGTGGCATTTGTTTTATGTAGCTTTGTCGAGAGCGCAAACACGCAAGAGTGTATACATTATTGCTCAGCCGTCTTTTTTTCAAACTTTTTTAAAAAATATTAATATACATTCAGCTGTAAAAAGTTTTTACTCAAATTTAATTAAACCTACGCCTGAAGAAAATGATTATAAAAAACGCATTAAATTACAAATGTGAAAAAACGTATTAAATTACAAATATGTGATTTGTTTGTTTTTTAAAAAAAATTGTATTTTGATTTTTTAAAAAAAAATGTAAATTGATATCATAAAAAAATGTTTATTCTTTTTTTTAAAAAGTAAAAAAAAACATTATATGTATTTGCAATTTAATTGAAAAATATATTTTTTTATTAAATTTTTTTATATATATACTGATTTTTTTGTTGAATTTTTTTTGGCTTAGTTAAACCTTTTTTTAATTTAGAATAGTAGTTATTACAAAAAAAAAATAATTAGAAAAAATGAAAACTTTGCAAGAAATTATCAAAACAAAACTAGCCATGGACTACTATCATCAACACGTTGCAACACCTTTTTGTGGCTATTTTATTGATCAACATTCTAATAACATTTGCGCATTATTTCGTTTATCTGCTTATGTTGATTTTATTAAAAGTTTACGCGAACATGACTTTTATGAAATGCAATTTTTATGTGGTGAATTAATTGAGTCATATGAAACTCTCATTCAACAAGATTGGTTAATTTATCATTGGTTAAACAACAAGTATCAACAAGATTTGGCGATTAAACCAGATCCAAATTTTATAATTAATCTTAAAAAACTTATGGTTTTCATAACACGTTGCATTTTCTATATAGAAAATAAATTTTTTATATGCCCAGATTTTATTTTTAAATATAGTGTTCCAACAAACGTTATTTTTAAGAAATGGTATTTTGATTTTTTTTTTAAATATATTTTTCCAAAATATTATTCAATGTAATTTTTTATTGAAATATTCACATCATTAATATTTATCGTTTTGTTTGCGCGTGCGTTTTGTTTGTTTTAAAAAAAAATTGTTTTATTTGAGTTATTTTCGCCCCTGCCTCCTAACCCCCCTGATTACACCTATTTTCACACACACTGATTACGCACCTGCTTATCCACCTGATTACGCCTATTTTCACACGCACTGATTACACCCAATAACATTGATTTTTTAACCTACCTGCTTATCACTTGATTTATGTTTTTATATTTTTCCACCCTACACCCCTGCCTCCCACCCTGACACCTACCTACACCCTAACCCTCCTAACCCTCTAACCCAAGTTTCTTTCCCTAACCCTCTAACCCCAAAGTTTTATTTTTTTATTTTTTGAAAAATCCCCCTCTTTTTTTATTTTTTATACCACCACCCCCCCTTTTTTAATTTTTATAAGAAGAGAAACACTTTTCTTCTTATTATTTTTTTTTTTTTAAATTATTGTCTATACGTATCATCATAGATATACAGAGGCGTAGAACACGGTTCGCTAGTGTCAACCATCTTGCATGGTTTAGTCGCCCAGGTGTTCTAGAATTAAATCTATCTGGTACAATACCTGTCTTCACCGCATTAACAATTTCGAAAAAGTACAGTTGATCACTGTTTAACAACTGCTTATCGCATATAATAGGTTCACCAAAAATTATAGCAAAGCTGACTATGGGTTTCTGAACAGACATTGTAATAGACTTGCCAATTGGTCCATTAAATGAATGGGGTCCAGTTGTTGCACCATCTAAAGAGTGAAAAAGATGTTGCAAAGAATGCTCGTTCAGATGTAAAAGACAAATGGACCAGTGCAGTGGTCGACTAAGTTCAATTTCCATTCTGCGTATAACTCCATTGTTTAAACCAGTATTAACGTTAGTTGAATCAGAACCAATACAAATAAGGTTCGTGCAGTCATCAGTATCAATTATTGAATCTGCAATGGATTTGGCTGATCCACTTGTTGGCGTACAATGATCAACATACTTTGAATTTGGCTCTGATAAAATGGAAATATGTTTCTCAGAAATCACAGTCTGCCTATCCCCCAAAGGTTTTAAAGTCTGATCTTTCCTTTCATCAAAATACAATCCAGTAATTCTGCAATCAGCATTTTTACAAGATGTTCTCAGTAGTTTTTGTTCTCTGCGAATTTTATTCCGATCCACTGGCCCCATATGTTCTATACCAAAATCAACTAGAGTTACTGATACAATCGCGGCAACTGCTCTATCTGATATGCCAAAACCATCTGCTTGTAGAGCAATATTTTTTAAACAACGGTTTTTCAGACGAGTAGATGTGACTTCGGTATCGACATCTGATTCGGAAGGGGAATAAGTTTCGGTGTCAGATTTGTTGTCTGTTTCATTATCTGATTCATTATCAGATGCTTCAACAACTCTGGCACACTTAACTGCAGTCTCTTCCTTTGATAATGAAACAGATTTTCGTTTTAAACGCCTCTCAGCACGTGCGGATTCCTTCTTGTCGATTCCAGCTATTCTGCCAACACGTATAGTGCGTTGATCAGTTAGGAAGTCATGCTAAATTGCCGGCACCTTTAGAACCATTGGACAGCAACAAGACGAAAGTTCTTTGCATTTACACGAACAAATGTCAAACAATTTCTCAAGATCTTTTTCTATTTCATCTTGTTTGACTGTTGCAGACTTTGATCGAATCACTTTCTGAACATCGCCTATGTACTTCTCTAGCTGTAATTCTATGCCTCGAAGACTTATAGTAGGAACTGATGCTTTAATCCATATCTGAGAAAGTTTCTCTGCTAGTCTCTTACAAATAGACCGTAGTGATTCAGTTTCATAATTCTTATCAGACAAGTATACTTTGCCTACTTGCTTGTGGGTTGGCAAGCAAAAATTGGGTAATTCACAACTTTCTCCTTAAATCTCACGACCTTCTTAGATCTTAAAATCATTATTGTTTTACAATTTTATAACATATCAGAACTTCAGTTAATTTCTAAAAATACAAGATGAGACTGATAAATTCTGCAATCAGTTGATAAAAGCAGAAATTAATAAACAACCATATAAAAATAGAATAATATAATAATAATATAATAATATAAAGTTATAATAACGTTGGAGTTAATCATATCATTAGGGTTAATTTAGTTAGGTAGGTATAGGTTTGGTTCAATTTCATAACCTTGGGATTATATCTAGTATTAGGGTTAAATGCATGTTTCAGTTAATGCATGTACTAAAGTAAATATACTTAGGATATAAAACCTTAAAACTTAAAAATGCAAAGTATAACCAATTCTTTAAAATATTTTTTTTGTAAATATTAAACAACACTATATCACGCCACTTTTCACAAATTCTAAAAAAATGAATTTATGATCCGGCCTAATATATATATATATATATACATATATATATATATATATATATATATATATATATATATATATATATATATATATATATATATATATATATATATATATATATATATATATATATATATATATATATATATATATGTATATATATATATATATATATATATATATATATATATATATATATATATATATATATATATATATATATATATATATATATATATATATATATATATATATATATATATATATATATATATGTATATATATATGTATGTATATATCCCAGACAGCAAGCTTACATTGGCCCAACGTAAGTTTTAGCATTGGCAAGTTTATTCCGTTGGGCCAACATATAACCAATGTTTTTTTGACGTATTATTTTCAATTCTGCAAATCGGTTATTTGCAAATACCATGTTATATTGGGACAACATTTAGCTAATGTTTTTTTTTTCGACGTAATATTGTAACTCTACAAATCGGTTTTTTGCAATAGTCGTACTATATTTTACTTGATATTATATTCTACTTATGTAGAGCTTTCTAATATTGCTAAACATTTTGTTAAAAGACCAATGACTAGTCTATAATAATTGATTGTCTATAATAATTATGAGATTAAATCAATAAATATTCAGTAAAAACAATTAAAATAAAAAGACTCAATTTAAATCATTATTTTTATTTGTCTGATTTAAATCATGATTTAAATCGAAACAACCCTTTATATATACTATCTTTCTGAGGCAGAGGAACATTATTCTTGGTTTTATTATTTTTTGATTTAATATTTTTAAATATTTTTCATAATTAGTTTGCGTACAACAGTTAACAACTTTAAGCTTATACATCAACTTTAGTTATAACCTAATTATTATTGATTTGGTTTATAGATTTTTATAGCAATACAAGAATGAATTTAGCAGAAGGTTAAACTTTTGCTCTGGAGAAAAAAGAAAGACAGCGAAAATGACCAGCCAAAAAAAAGATAATAGAGATGAAAAATTGTGTATATCTTGGTGTAGATGATTGATCCTCAATTTCTTATAATCAAACAAAATATCAAAGCTTATACAACAAGCTTGGCTAGGAAGCGGGAGCGATCGCTCCCTCTTCCTAATCAAGCCTGTGATATAAGCTTTGATATGTTGATTATTATGCAATAATATGTATAATAATCAACATATCATAACATTAATAATAAAAGAACAATAATCAACATAACATACTGCTCTTGAATACTGACCACCTAAATTATATTTAATTGCGTTAAACTGGCCAGGTTTTTTAGTCCTTTTGAGAACATTTAAGTTTATGAACGTAACAAAATTTTTTTGTTGAATTTCAAAGTTGATGTCACCAACTTTGAAATCCATTGAAATCAACTGTTGAAAAAAACAACAGAGTATTCATATCAGTTTAAAGTTTTAACAGTTACTGGTGATTCATTAGTATTCATTATTTAAACGTTTATTTAAATTTATCTAATAGATGAAGATAATACAATGTTTTTATATATGATATTATTTTTAAAAATTCAGAACTAAAATATGTAAAAAAAATTTATTTACAAACATTGGACAAGATCTGTAATGTACCTGGAAAATCTGGAAAATATGTTATCATTGGCCAAAGTCGTGGAAAACCTGGAAAAGACAGGAGTTTTTTTTTTTTAAATAGTCATGGAAAAGTCAGTAATTCTAGTTAAGAAGTTACTCGTTTCACAATT